AAAGATGTTATATTTCTAACACAAGCCCAGGACAAGGTACGTACTCATCCTTTTTCCTCTCTTGATTGACTGGGGGTAGGCACCAGGCTCTCACACCCCTTCACTGTTTGCTGCAGTCTCCGTTCCAACTCCTGACCTCCTAGGCGCATCCTCCTTCCCTGTGTACAGTCTATGCCTGAGCCACTGACAAACAGTTCAAGTAAAAAGTGGATGAAGGACATGGATAAGCATTACTCAAAAAAAAAAAAAAGTGCAACTGGCAAGCGACCACCTAAAAAGCCCCATGTGCTCCAAAAATTCCACTCCTACCCCAGATTAAAGAAAGTACACAAATCAGTATGAAAACACATATTAAATGATCACTTACAGCAGCTCAAAGGTGGAAACAGTGCAGGTATCCATCAGTGGATGAATGGATAGACAAATTGTGCTCTGCATGCACATGGAATAGGAAACAGCCATAAAAAGGAATTAAATAGTATACTAATACAGACTGCAATGTGGATGAACCTTATAGGTATTATGCTGAGTGAGAGAAGCCAGTCATAACAGACCTAAAGTGTATGAGCTCATTGATATGAAATGCCCAGAATATGAAAATTCACAGAGACAGAAGGCAGATATTGGGTCCAGGGGCTGGGAAAGAAGGGACAGGGAGTGACTGAGTGCTTAATGGGAAGAGAATGATGCAGGTCTTTTGCAATTAGAAGATAACACAGCATCATGATGATGCTAGCACTGTTTAGTTGTTTACCTGCATGTTTGTTTCTTTTGTGGTGCTAGGAATTAAGCCCAAGGCGTCACTCTCCAGACAATTGCTAATTCTTAAATGGGTAACATTCTATGATGTGAAATTTGCTGCAATAAAATAATGCAAAAAACAGAAAACCTGAACTAGAAGATTACATAGGATACATCGTCTCAGGGACTTGATCTCATTTCTTCTTTCTCCTCCACATTTCTGTGTGGTTTATGTTTATTCTTCAATTCAAAAATGCAGCTATTTTATTATTCTACTTTGTTCTATTTATCATTTCTAAACAGATGTAGTAAGATAGCACCTAAGTTTTTCCCATCTTGCTGAGGATTAAAGTCCTTTAAACTGTTCTCTTTGCTACTATTTTATCACGGACTTGATCAGAAAACCCCCAGAGTAGCTTTTGGTTTGCTCCAGCTGCAACAGTGCCACACCCTCCTCCTCTATGATCAGGCAAAGCCAGAGTCTCCGTCATCATGTCTGTTTCCAGCCTCCCCTGTTTCTGTGTTGTTGTCCTGAATGTCCAGTGGCCTTGTTGGCCCCTGAGAGTGGTCACTCTCCCCTTCAGTGAATCCTTTCTCTCTGTCTTCTCGCTCTTCCTCCTCCTCCTCCTCTGTCCCTTTCATCTCTGCCATTTCCCACCTTGAAGCTCCAGCTGTGAAACCCCAGGAAGTTGGACACATCGGCATCTACATCCTTGAACTCATTTATGATGCTTCATCTAGGAAACATTCACAGGTCACTTGCCCCAAGTAAGCAAATGTCTGAAGTGAGATCATTTCTTGGTTGATATTGCAGCATCAGCATCTCATTTAGAGCCAATGGAAATCCAAATACTGCTGGCAGGTTCATGGTGAGCTTAAGTGCCTGGGCAGGGGGAGCGTAGGGCAGCTGAGGGTCATGGAAGTCAAACACTTCCTCCCTACACTTAGCACTTTCATCCTTTGAAGCGCACGTCAGTATTCCCTTCAAAACAAGGGCCATTTTTTTGTTAGGAGCTTTCAGGATTTCATTGGCTGCTGTGTGCAAATTTTTTCTCTTGCTGTGTGCTCTGCTGACACCTCGTGGTGCAGAATGAAAGTATGTGTGTTTGTGTGTGTGTGTGTGTGTGTGTGTGTGTGTGTGTGTGTGGCGGGGCAAGTGTAGAGAGAGACAGAGACAGAGACATACACGGAGATAGATTTGGGTGTTTGGAGAGCCTCTCCAAGGACTGGGAATCTGAATTCTGGGCATGGAGGAGCAGGGAGAGGATATGCATTTTTGGATGAAAAGACCTGTGTTTCTCAGTGCCATTAGAGACATTTAACAACTACATTATTGCTCCCAACTCAACTTTTCTCTTACAGTAATGTACCCAGGGCCTTACTCACCTGTATCTCCAGCCTCCCAACCTGCTTTTTAATTTTTTATTTTGAGACAGTGTCTCACTAAGGTACCAAGTTGCCCAGGCTGGGATTGACCTTGGATCCCCCTGCCTCAGCCACCCAGAGTTCTGGAGTTACAGATGTACACTATCATGCTCAGCCCCAAAATTTATGCTACTATCTTGATAATTTCCAGATGATTTCAAAATAATAGAATTTTAAAGTTGATTGTATGGCCTAATTGTTTGTAGCAAACAGAATTCTGGCGCTATTGAGCAGACACAGGAGGTCTGGGCTATGTGAGATCCCCAGGACTACCTCAGCTTCTCCTCCTTCCCAGACTGGGGAGTAGGAGTCCAGGATAGAAGCCAGACCTCCAGATTCATTTCCTCAGCCCTTGAAGGCAACCTCTAAGACAGCACAGACAAGAACTACATTTCCAATGTTCTCAAAGAAGGGCTATAGGCCTGCAGATTTCTAGTCTTGCCATAATTTGGGGGAACTCTCTTTCTCCCTCAGGCCATCATGGCCAATATCTGCAGGCAGTGCTGTCTATGGGAACCTGGAAGGCACCTCCTGTCCGTAGCAGCCTGAGCCCAGCAGCCCTGAATCACCTCTGTTGTACAGCAAGGACTGGGGCAGTGTGGCCAAGTGAGTGTCCAAGGTCCGGTACCACACGTAAACCCTTGAGAGAAGCAGCTGAAGCACCTTGAGAGATCAGCGCTGGAGGCAGGCACAGAGCAGGGAGAGTCAAGCTTCCTGGGAACCAGTGATGACCAGCACTGGGCGCATCTGCAGATACTCCAGCCAAGCCACCACTGGAAAGTATCAAACTTTTCTAGAATGCCATGCAGAATTTTATTTAGAAAATAACACATGTGTGTGTCTTCTATTAGCTGCTTGCCTATCATTCTTTAAATATGGATGTAGGGGAACATATATGAGTCCTCAGAATCACTTGTCACCCAGCAGACAGGGACACTGATAGAGACCTAACTCCCTTCTGCAGTGGCAAAATGTCTGTCAGGTTCACTTAACGGTCAAAGTTTAAAAGTCCTTGAGGATTTCCATCCAGCCTGGTCACCCTGGATAGAAATCCCAGCTTCCTGAAGGCTTTACTGCTTACCATCTGTCTTAGTTACTTTTTACTCATTGCTGAGACAAAATACCTGAAGCCCAAAGTTGGGAAAGGAAAGGTTTATTTCTTACAGTTTTTGGAGATTTCAGCCCACACTCAGTTGGATCCAAGGCAGGCAGGCATGGCTGGGCCACCATCCAAGGCAGCTACAAACAGCAAGCTCGAACCAGCAAAGAGCGAGACACAGCTTCTTCCTGCCATTACATCATATCCTGGCTCCACCCCTTTGTGGGTGGAGCACTGACACCATCAATCTAAGCACTAAACAATGACCAAATAACAAATGCACAATTCAAACTCATGAGGCCTGGGGGACACAGACATAAACCATGACACCATTCACATTTGTCATAGAACACTGGCTCGTGGCCTAAGTTTCAAGAACAGATACAATCCATGTTTAACGAATTTGCCTAGAAATTTCTGTTACATTATTTCAAACCAAAAAACATCAAAATACTTGACCATTTTCATGTACTTTACACAGCTATCTGCTGAATTGGCTCTTCATGGAGTGCTCTTGGAGCACAATTGTTTGTACAAAGAGTTCTGTGTCATCTCAATGGCCATAATGATATTAAAATTATGCTAAAGGTATTGTGACATACTGACCAGTTGGGGGTGTAAAAAGAGTAACAGGTGTTTAAGAGATCTGAGCAAGACGGAGGAAGGGACCAAAGTGGGTTGGCTCAGGAGTCAGGATTTCCCGCTGGTCTCTGATACCCTCCAGCTGAGAGTGTCACTGGGCATTAGGGCATAATTTCCCTTCACACCCTCTCCTACCTCTCTTGGTGACTCCCAGCCACCTTCTCCAATAGCATGTTTGGGGTAGAGGACACACGTCAGAGTTTATGATGCTGGAAATTTGGGACAGCTGGAGGCAGCAGAGATACATCAAATCCCCTCAGACTTCCTATCTTGTTTAGATGGTAATTCTAACGCTCTCTCCTCTAACATTTGAGCCACAGTTATGAGTAGGGACCAAAGAAGATGAATTTAAATTTTGGCTTTTTCTTTTTCTCTTATTTGTTAGTGGATCTGAGCCAAGGGACAGAGGGCACAGGACAAACATGGCAGGAAACGCCCTGTAGCAAATAGAAAATGAAAATTTTTCCCCTGACTATTTTATGCTCAGAGATCAAGATGGCCATGATTTCTGTCCTCCTTTGTCCTACAGCCACAATGCCAAGAACATCATCAAGTAACATCCAAATCATTCTAGCCAAAAAGAGATTTGGGAAGAGGATGGATGTGTTCCTGGGTTAGAAAGTCGGTGACTCAGCACGTGTAAAATTTTGTCCAGCTATATGCTTGCAGATTAAAGTCGCTGGGGCTAGCATCTTTGATGCCATGAGGGAGGAAGTGACTTTAAAGATCTGCCCAGTGCTGCCGGTGATTACAGGCTTGCTGGGTGTATGCTGCACTGCAGGAACTTAAGCAAGTAACCTTTTTTCAGTTGAGTTTTGAGGTTGATGTTGGAAATATCATCACTTCCTCTGGTGGAATTTTAAAAGTTGCACAAAAGTTGCAAGTTCCCTTCTTTAGGTTTTCTCTAAAGTGCTTTCTGCAATTTAAAGAGGCTCCCAGAGTCACACGAAGTCATGTGGAGATTAATGTTCAGACCCAAAAAGCGCCGAGGCTTGGTTGGTATCCTTTGCTGTGTCCTTAATGGTGAAGTTGTGTGCTGGAAATATATCTCGAGACTTACAGAGCTGCTGTCTCTTATTTTCTGTTTTTCTAGGGCAAAGGTGATGTGACCTTCGCTGAGACGCAAGCAGCCGCCTCTGCAGAGGTAAGAAACATGATGCAGAGTTTTTTCCTCCATGCAAATGTAAGTTACAGTCTTGAAAAAATGCTAAACATGCAGTCTTTCTCCATTCTTTTGGTGGTTTTACACTGCCCAGGTCCTGCAAATTGAGAGTGTGGTGTGATTGCAGAAGAATAGAACTCTGGACAGTAAAATGTAAATTTTTGACCCTGGAGGGCACACAAGTGTGCTGGGTTGTACAGCTATGTCTCTATACAGCAGGAGTCTGCTGTATGCTGAGCTGTGGCTCATTGGGGTGATATAGATATGATTTCATGTGTCATATTCTTTCAAGATACTTATTGTGTGATTTTAAAATAAGTTGGGATCATAAATGACAAGAGTCGATAGCCAGACAGGAATGGCACCCACCTTCTGGATGTGAGGTGATACCACCTGGCTGGCAGACCCTTATGCCTGCACAGACCAGATGCTCAGCAGCATCTGTTTAGGAATTTGGCCCAACATGCATATTTTGGAGGAGGATGAACATCTACAGTGTTTTAAACAGCTATCTGGCTTTGGTAGAAACATTATGAATAAGGTGGTTTCTGAGACAGGTTTATATTTGTCTCAATGCATCTTCCCCATGATATAAGTGGTGAAAGTGGCACCTGAGATAATAATGAAGGCTGAAACCCACAGCAGCCGGGCTGGTAGATTCTGGTTGGGCTTATGTTAATCTACCTCAATGTGTTAAACTACCAAGTGGTTCCTATTCCTTAAAAATATTCCTGACTTGTGCTAGCATATTGTCAACTTTGTGAATGTTAAAAAGTAGTAAATAAGCACAGTCTTCTGAGGGAGGATACCTTGTTCCCACAGAAGCACGGTCAAAGTGGAGGGTACATGGTAACCTCCAATGGCAGGCTTCTTCCTGCCCCCTCCATGTGTGGAGGTACCTGAAGACCCAGGCAATGCCAAGTTCTAAAACCTTAGAGGAAAGTACCCTAAACATTTGGCTACTGAGTGTCAGACAGCAAAACAGTGTTTCCTTCTGAGCCCTGCAGTCTTATTTTGTGAGAGTTGTAGCTCTCCTGTGTGTGTCTAAGTGTGTTTTTACTAACAGCCTGATACTAAGTGGTTCAATAAGAGACTCTTGATGCCATTATCTTGCAGAAGTGAGTTTCCTTGCAAGGCACAAAAATTGGGCCAGTAGAATTGTGTGGTTAATAATAGCCAGTCTATGGCTATATAAATTCTCAAGGTGGTTATAATTGTTCTTACCTAAGTGGTACTATTTTGAATTGCCCCCTAATATAAATGAGCTCAGACCAAGTGGGAGAAGTGTATCTGATTGTGCTTTTCTCATAATTTCTTTTCAGTCTAGATTATCACCTACTTAGGAATGAGAGACTCACACTTTAGTTAGTGATTTTTAGCAAAATTTCTCTTGAGTTTATACAGATCTGAAAAGATTTATGTTTCTTAGAAATCAAAAGTTTCCTTATTATTTGTGTAATCCCAGTCCATACTCAGCCTAGACATGCCAAACACAGATATTTCTATTGAGTGTCTCCTTTTTCTTTGGTCATTGAAATGGACCTAGGCCAGGAGGATAAAGATGGGCCTGGTGGGAGATGATAATGAAATTCAGAGATGATGATGATGTCACTAGTAGGATGTCACTGATAAGTCATTCCTGAAGGCATCAGTGGTGTTCTTCAAGGCATTATCCACAAGGCCTGTTTAGAATGGAAACTGTACAGGGATTATACTGTTCCTATGTCCTACATCATGCAATAGAGGGCTGATATTGCAGCAAATCCTCTCATTCCACTTAACCCTTCCTGAGCCAGTCCATGTGTCTTAGTTTCTCATTGCTGAGACACAATACCCAACAACTATAACTCTTAAGAATGAAAAGTTTATTCTCACTCAGTTTGTAGAGATTTCAGTCTGTCATCTGCTGGTTCCAAGGCAGGACAGTATGGCAGAGAGGCATGGCAGGGGAGAAACAGTTCATGGTATGGCAACAGGAAGCAGAAAGACCTGAATGGAGGAGGAAGGGACGTGGACTCTGCCAGGCCACACCTCCAGTGACCCCCCTACTCCATCTAGACTTTATCTCCCAATGTCACATTTAGCTATAAACTCATAAATGGGCTAATATACTATTGAGCATCACATTACCTGATCCAGTCACCTTCCAAAAGCCCTCCCTACGAGTGCATGATACTTTGAGGGTCTGGGGGATATTTAGATATAAACCATAACAATACACTTTCAAGATTTACCTTAAGCTTGGCAAACAAGAATCTCTGATGTTTGGGATAAAGACCACATCAGAGGCATAGATGTAACTCAGTGGTAGTGTTTGCTTAGCATAAACAAAGACCTAGGTTCAAAACAAGAAAAAGCAAAGTCCCACAAATCAGACCTTACAAAGCATCATCCTGGAGCATCACAAAAGTATGAAAGGTGGTAAGATGACAGTGATTTAGGAGCTATCTATTTTCTCCTTCCCTCCTATCTCCCCATAAATATTTTCACTAAGACTCTGTAAAAAGCAATGCTAAATAGACAGTTCCCTAAAGCAGAGGATTATGGGTTTCTTGTTGAAAATCCCAGTGTGAATGTAGCTTCTGGGACTAAACAGGCACTACTATTTCTCCAGGATTATCATGGAGGTGGCTGATGTACCGGTCACAGCCAATGGTGTCTTTTATGTATTTTTCCTAATGGAATCTGCAAGTTGCCACCATTTTTTTTCTACCATGATGTTTCTCTTTATTTAGCTGGTTTTGTAAGAAACCAATGTTTTAAAAAAGAGATTAAGTATGTTAGAATTCACATAGGAGGATGCTATCTTTGTTGATGCTTCCAGCCTCAACTGGATCAGAAGGGAATGGCGCACTCCCTCTGTCTGCTGAAGGACCTTATGGCCATCCTCTCCCCTCTTTTTCTTTGGAATGAGCATATGTGTTCCATTTTATACAGTTGTTCTGCTCACTGATCTATTGACTCAATGACCTGTGGATCTTACAGATTCTGACAAGGAAAGAGCAGTGTTCTTCCAGAATATTGCCATGTTCTTGTGTGCTGCGTGACACACAAGAACATGGCAATATTTGATTCTTCTAATGTGGCAGTGTAGACCAAGGTTATGATTTCATAGATGAAGAGACAAAGGTGATCCTTGGGTAAAGAATGAAAGCAGCTCGAAGGTTTTCACTGAGAGAAAAAATGTGTGATGTGCCCATGACACATGCCCACTGCTGCCTGTCTGACATTAGGGCCTGTGCATGTGTGTTTATTTGCATAGTTTTCATCCTTAATAATTTGTGAAACAGTCTGTTCTTTTGTAAGAGACTTTTATAAGCAAATGAAATAAGGAAATGACTCAAACTGAATCCTTTGAAAAGCAACTTAGCTGCAATGTGCAGAGACCCTGGAACAAAACATAAGGCTGATGTTCCCCCTTTGCAGCTTCTCTATGAGGTCTTTGACTGACACAGGGGGCAGTTTGTGGGATGCTGGAGAACAGTGCCATCCCACCTGAGTCACAAAACTAACTTTAGATTAGAATTCTGCAAATCTTATTGTCGTGTATTCTTCTGCCCATGCTTTGATCTTTCTATTTATTTTTGTTTTTGAAGGTAGTAAAATACAATAGAACAAGACAGAACAAAGCCAATCAAGACAATGGGTGAAATTAGTACAGAACTTCACAGCAGGATACTAGGATAACAGTAATAGGTACCATGGTATATCTCATTATCCTCACAATAGTTGTCCAGTCAATTAGATACAGGGAAATCAAATAAAAAACAGAGCATTATAAAACCTATCAAAGCAGAATATTGAACAGAGCAAAACAATTAACCAGAACAAAGCAAAATAGTGAAAACAAGATTTGCCTTTAAAGGGATGATAGAAGGAAATCCCCCATATTTACTATATTGCATATGGGCAACCTCCCAAGAGATGCTCCGACCTCTGGCTCCCAGTTGCTAACAGTGGCGGTGGGGTGGGGGTGGGTGGGGGGGTGGGGATTGGAAGTTTGATTTTCAGCCCTGGGCTGGTAGGCTCATGGGAGACCCTGACTGGTTCTCTTCTTGGCTTGCTTACTGCTAGCTCGAGCCATGGCTCCTTACTTTGATTTTTCTCATCCTGGACCAAAATGATTCTGAATCTTGGCTACAAGGAAGATTGTGATGGTTAATCTTGATTGTCATCTAGACTGGATTGAGAAATGTTCAGGAAGTTAGTAAGAAGCACTGGGTGTGTCTGTGGACAACTGGATCCGGAGGGCTCTAGCTTCATTAAGCTGATTAGCCTGATGATGAAATCAGTTTGATGGCATTAATGGAAAGTGATAGAGACTCAGGAGCTGGGGCCTCATTGAAGAGAACGGGGCACAGGGCCATGACCTTAGGGACTTTATCTGGCACCTGGACCAGCCTTCTCTGGCTCTTTGCCATTCTCCTTGCTTCCTGACTGCAGCAAGGTGAGCCACTTTACTCTGCCACATCCTTCTGCTGTGATGTTTTTGCCTGGTCCCATTGCAACGGAGCCAGCTGGTGATGGACTGAAACCTCCTAACCATGAGTTATAATAAATCTTTCCTCCTCTGAGTTGTTTATACCGACAACATGGAGATATTTGTTTTTGTCTTTCTCATTGAATTATGCTTTGCCTCCACTGTGAGGCCTGAAGCATGAGAAGAACAGACTTACAGATGTATTTTGTTTTCTGATGGCATTGATAATGTGGCAGGAAAAGGTGACATGAAAAAGATGACTTAGACATGGGCAACAGAACACATAATTTTATTTCCAGAAACATGGAATCCCCTTGCCTGGAAAAGCCCTAGCCAAAGGGGCTTGCTATTCACTCCTGACCCAGTGACGTAGGGAAGTGTTCTGTGCACAGCTGAGAAGACAGAGGGAGACACATCCCTGGACACGTGAACAAAGGCAAGAAGGAGTCCCTGGGTATAGGAGAAGCTTCATAGGACTTAGGCCACCAGGAGAACTGGGAAT